ATATATTTAATATGTAAGGTGTGTACACATACGTTGTGTGCAACTTAAGAAAGCAGACCGAAACTTTACGATTCACAGTTGAGACTGATTAACGATTTAGTACATTACCATTTGCATTCATAATTTGAATCCCGATTTGACAACTATGTTAGGTGGAGTTTCATCCAACAATAACGGAAAGCAACGACATTGATGACGCAATCGACACACACCATGCCAATAATAAACAGAAACCACGGATTAATGAAGTTTGTTTGAGCAAGGTTGAGTCCGACATTGGTGAACTGAAGGAAACCATGAAGCAAGTGCTTCACAGCAATGTGGAAATAAGGGACATGTTGGTCAATTTCCGAGGGAAGGAAGCTGTTGACAATGCAAAGGTAAGCAAAAGCAATCAGCACACATGCTTCACATAGTTCACAGAGGTTACTTGAAGATGAAATATCGCAGTAAGTTAATGTATGTGTTTGTGTGATTAGGTGGAGTCGACTCAAAGAAATTGTAACATTAACATATCCTCCAGCAGTGGTGAACTCAAAGGAATGCTGAACGAATTGGTTACAGCTATATTGTCTGGGAAACAACCGTTTAATGAACAGACACATATTGCTGAAATGAAGCAAATGATGCAGCAAGTGCTGGAAGGTTTATCGGAAACAGCACAATTGCCTCGCGCAGAGGAAAAGGGTGTTGACCCTACCGTGGGAGTCGAGTTGCATGATGGCGGCGTGGTGTTCCCAACTTACTATAGTAGCCCAAATGAGGGTAATGTTCAAGATTTGCAGGGGGTGGATTGGGAGGACAATACTGTGAATGGAATGCTGTCCAATGAGATAATTGATATGCACGTTGGACAGTTGCGTACCGTCCAAGAAGTTGGAGACACGCACAACAACCGTGGCCTTGCCTTGGAGGAAACATACGTAAGCGAAGAAAGCAAATCTCTTTCGGTTCAGTTTCTGGCCAAGAAGAACGTTGCAAAAGAGAGTTTATCTTCCTTTGATGATTTGCAAACCCTGCGACCAATGCGAGGAGAAGCAGACAATGTGCATCCTTCTGCCGGTAAGCTTGCCCGAACATTGGGAGTGGGACAAATTGTGACAGGCACACGAAAGGGAAAGGGAAGAGGAAGAGGACGAGGTGTTGGAGCGACAGACGTAGGGGATATGCATTCGTGCAACGATAGCAAAATAAGTACTCGACTTACTGCAGAAAAATTCCCAAGTCGCCACATCACTTCACCTTTCGTATGTTTCATTACCAATTGATGCCGACATCATTACTGATCATAATTGAACCATTATTTGTGTTGTATTTTAATACTTGTCATTGTAGTGCAAGTTTGCAGTGACAAATGTTGTACAATTGTCTTACAGATTTCAGACAAAGTCCTGTCCAAACTGCACAGGTTGGAGAAGCGGTTCCGTTCAGAGGTTAGACATCGCTTCACCAATTTTAGATGCATAAGGATGTGTTATGTATGTTGTAAATTACTTTTCTGAATAGTGTTCAGTTAGTTAACTGTTTATATTAATAGGAGGAGTTGATGTTACTTGATTATTTATATTGATAGAAGGACTTCATGACACTGGAGAGCAGAGAGGTTTTATCAGCGGTCGAACAGAAAGTCGTTGACTCTGTACTTGACGACAGAAAAAATGAAAGGTACGGATGAGTTTAGTACTCGCAATTAACCTGTTCCATAGTATTTGTGAAATAAGTTTGAATTCCATAATTTTCATTTGTCGTGCTATGTTTATTTGATTTTTGTACCTATCAGTGCTTTAATTTTTCATTCTGTATGATTTTGATGGGTTTATGATGGGTTTACCCATGTCGTATGTAGGATTCTCTTTGAATTTAATGCAGTGGGCTACGGAAAGATCAGTGGCTAAATTTCCTATCAGAAGTTTTCTTCTTTTGGTCTTATCCTGCACACATGTACCTATTGGGAAAATTGCAAACCACTGATATTTTCACAAAAATATTTACAATATTTACAAATTCTTGGAAAACTTTATAATTTTAATTATGAAAGTTAATAAAGTTTACCAATGATTTGCAAAATTTTTTGAAAACTTAGAATGAAGTGCAATTTTCCGTAGCTATTTTCTTCTAGTCTGCTTACATTTTCCATTTTGATCATTTTGGGATATTGTTGGCTCCAGTTTGTAAAAAACATGTATTTTTTTTTTTAAAATTGCTCACCTGTAAATGAGCATTTCAATTTTCACATATTATTTTAGCAAATACTATTAGACATGTCATAAGTTGTAATATGTAAAACTTTTTCCTTTTACTTTTGTTTTTTCAAAACTTAAAACTAATCTTAATTGGATTGGAGCCTAGTAGAATCAGGAATATCTGGCATAGTTGTACAACAGAAAAACTAATCTTATGTTGTAGAGTTAAGCCAGATACGTTTAAATTGTACTAGGCTGTAGGTTGCTTCTTACTGGTTCATGTATACGTTTAATGTAGGGACATTGTCGTGTCTATGAATCTTCATGAAATGCCTTGCGAATGTGCTATGCGACATGACATGCGCACGCTTAAACCAGGGGCATCCGACACGGTAAGTCCTGGCATCTGACAATGTTATTTCCACTATATTTGCATGATGGACATTTCCATGTACGGACATCGTTATTTCGTATTACATTTAAACAAATTGCAAACCTTATTTCGCAAGTTGCCTCGTGTGTTACAATGTTTCAGCCAATCAACTTGGTCGCGGTTCAATTGACTAATGGACAGCGGCAAGTACACAAAGACGGGAGCCATACTGCGTGGTTCTTTCCAGTATATCTGTCGGTAAGTAAGTGTTTTAGGTCGGTTGTGTATTGTAGAAGACATATTTTCAGAAAACTTTGGCTGACTGAACTTTACACACCAAACATGCAGACTTTGATACTAAATAAAAAAACTCAACCTCTAAACCATGAAAATATCGTCAAATCATATTTTGGACATGACAGATATACTGGGGTGCTTGATGCATGTCAGAAGGTAATATGAATATCCATCCCATTGAAGCGAGTAGATTTAATATGAACGTCGGTAACATGAATGTCGATCCCATTTACATGAATGTCAATGTAAATATGAAAGTGCGTACATGTTCGCATGCCCTCTAAACAATGTCTTCACTTGTGTTTGTGTGTAGATTTACATGCCTTTCAATTATAGAGGAGTACATTGGTTGTGCCTAAAAATAGATATGGTAGACCGTGTGGCGTACTTATTTGACTCATTGGCATCCGCCACACTGGACACCAACAAGCTGAACGCGGCAAAAATGTTGGTATGTCGTGCTAAATTTCACAAATCTACTTCCACACTGTCACATCCTGCACATAAACTAACCGTCTCATTCTAAAATAGGTTCAAACAATGCATGACTTACTGCAACTACAGTTTGGAAATGAATATGCTGTACACGTGTGTACCATTGACGTCCGCATGTTAGTACAAAGGCCATTACAACAGCTAGACGAGTAATCCACAAACCCTGCGTCACATTGACTTGACTCCTGAATCACTCATTTAACGAACCTGCTAATATTTTATGAGAAACTGAATGTTACATTTCATTTGTAGCACTTTCGACTGTGGGATGTTTGTGATCAAGTACATGCAGCAGCCTGATATACCAAGCGGTCCACACAAGGTACATTCTACGGCTTAATTTCTAATTGCGAAATAAATCCGTTTATTTCCTACCGTCATAACTGTACCTGATTTGTGTTATTCGCTTTTTGTACATAGTTTCATCCTTCTGTGCGTCGGAAGTTGGTGCTTGACTTCGTTATGGATGTGAACAATACAAAGATCGGCGAGTATCCTTCGTGCATGTGATTGATTGCAATTACAACAAATATGACAGCGATTTTATCATGGGCTGCCAGTACGAGAGTAATTTCGATGCCCAACCACAACTGGATTACTGCTTCAGCTTGTTGTGACAACTTTTCAGGTCGCAGCTGTGATAATTACTAATTTCCCACGTGTATTGATTGTACACATAATTCCAATGTTTGGGACTGGAACAAACGAGGGAAAGTAGTAATGTTTGTTTGCTTTTATCGTGGCCTGTACGTAATGTGATACACATAATTCCAATGTTATGGGTACAGAACAAACATCGCAATGTGAAATTTGCCCAAATGAATATAGTAATGTTTGTCCAATGCAATGTGATATTTGTCCAACAAACAATGCAAGTTGAAAGTACTAATGTTTGTTCAGTTTTACCACATGAATTATGTTTGTTCGATTTTTTTGAATGCCATGATTTTGTCCAAAACAAAGCAAAAAAAATCCCACGGAACAAACATATAGTGTGACTATAATGCACCAACAGGGGTCCACCTGTCCACTGGGGTCCACCTGTCTTCAGGTCAACCACTGTAGTTTGCCAATGATCGTTTCTGCAATCCTCCTAACTACTGCACCATGTGGGCCCTCACGTGCAGTTAAACTAAACCCTTTCATATGTGTAACTGATGGACTCTGACGCTGAATTTCACACATGTCATGTTGTGGTTGATCCACGTGTGAACAGGCACAAGCAAGTACAAGTTTTAAACAGCAAACGTGCCACAAATTTTAGACTGCAATCAATGTCATGTTGCATACTGCTTTGTTGTTTCCAGTGTATCGGTCGGTAAGTAAGTATTTTACGGCAGTTGTGTATTGTAGATGACATATTTTCAGAAATATTTGGCTGACTGACTTTACACACTAAACATGCAGAGTTTGATACTAAATAAAAACTACTAAACATCTGTACATGACAGATATACTGGTGTGAAGAAGTATGACATCCTTTACATAAACGAATCCTTAGAAGGGCAACCAACCACATAGGAGATATATAAACAGAAGATATGTGAAGAAGAATTATCCAACCATGTGGGAAACTTTGAAGGGGAGTTGATTACTTCATAACAATGCACAAACGGAGAAAAATTGCAAAAAAAAAAAAAAAAACCACAGCAGCAGAGTACATATATAGCAGAGCAGATTTGAAGCACAGCAGAGCAGCAACCAGAAATGAGCATGCTTGACCCCATAAACTAAGCCAGAGCAACAAGCCAAAAATAAGGCAAAGCATAGCAACATTGAAGCACAGCAGAGCAAAAGTAGCCACCAAGAAGATATGGTAATACCACAGACTGACCAAAATCCTGCATACCACAGCTTGACCAAACTCCTGCACCCCAGTTTCAAAAAACACCAAACACCACCCCCTAAATGAGACTTTGATACTATCCAGAATACAATATATGTCGTCCACTGAATACTGTAGGCCTCTATAACTTTGCTTACAGCAAAGTGCAACCCTCACTTTCACCATCTCAGCCAATTCAGGCCCATCAACAATCTTATCATTAAAAAGGCAATCATTCCTACCTTTCCAAATCATTCCTAGGTGTGCAATACAAAAGAATACATATATAAACTAGCCTAGGATTTGGGGAACAGAACGCCTAGAACACCCCACTCTGATTGAGCATCTGCCAGCATGGCTTGGGCTTGGTCCAACTCAGCTTTAGTTGTCTGAATGGATGCAGAACGATGTCTAATTTGGGAGAGCATCATCCTTGCTTCTTGATTAAGCTGGTCGTGTTGCTGCTGCAGATGAGCCTTTCTTTGCCGGACAGAGGCAAGTTCTGCCATGAGTTTGGCTTCCTCAAGTTCAAGTGCTGAGTGTTGCTGAAGAATGGCTGCAGAGGTCTGCTGGCTGAGTTTGAGTGAAGTAGATATGGTGTGGGCTTCGTTTAGGAAATCCTTATTGGTTTGAATATCCTTCGAGCAAGTCTGAACCATCTCTGAAAGGGTTGGCCATTCTGTGATGATCTTGGCCAATTGCTTTAGTTGAATGGGGTTGAAAGGATTAGGGGAGAGGTTTACAACAGCAGAAAGACAGGCCAAGGTTTCATCAGGTTTGTGGAGAATGATTTCTTCAACTGGGGTGTTAATGAGGTTGATGAAGGTGGTTAAGGTTTGTTGAGTTTCAGCATCAAACAGATGTAGCCTTTGAGGCAATGGGGATATTTCGTCTAGATCTTGTTGAAGAATAGAAACTTCGGCCCAAATATCCTGGCATGGACCGACGGCCTGTGAACATTAATAGTTTGGTGAGAATATATGCTTGCAAGTAATAAAGAGTAAATAGGATGAGGTTGGAAATGGTAGTACCTGTCCTGATAACGTGCACGCAGACGGTTGGCCTTGTTCAGCTGTGGTTGTCGCATGAGGACGAGTTGTTTCTGGTACTGATGAGATGGCAGCATCAGCGCCTTGAGGGTGTTTCTCTGGTTCTGCTAGCAGGGGAAAGTCATGAGGACCTTCAAGTTCTGTCTCGCCCATTGGTCGTGGAGATGAGTCCTGTATTATGTCCATCCCTGTAAATTGGAGAACAATACCAGTTACTTAAAGAGAAGTTTTTTTTTCCCAAACGAACAGTAACATTTGTATTTCTATTTACCTTGGTTGTGGTGAACTTCTGGTTGAGGGGATTTTGTGTTGTCATCTGTTGGAGAGGATTGGCTGTTGATTGAAATGTCAAATTCAATCCTCTGTGATTCTTTGTTTGACGTTTGGGAATTGGAGGGGTTTGATGGTGATGGTTGAGGGCTAGAGACAGAAGGGACAATGTGTTGAGGAGAAGTGGAAGGATGTTGTGATGCAGACTGTGTGGATTGCTGTGGCGAAGACTGTGAAGCAGGTTGTAAGGAAGTTTGTTGCGATGCTTTAGGTGGTGGTGGAGTTGGTTGTACAGTGGGTTCTGTGGGTACATTACTGATTGGACTGGGAATTTGATGAATGTGTTGAGGAGAAGTGGAAGGATGTTGTGATGCAGACTGTGTGGATTGCTGTGGCGAAGACTGTGAAGCAGGTTGTAAGGGAGTTTGTTGCGATGCTTCAGGTGGTGGTGGAGTTGGTTGTACAGTGGGTTCTGTGGGTACATTACTGATTGGACTGGGAATTTGATGAATGTGTTGAGGAGAAGTGGAAGGATGTTGTGATGCAGACTGTGTGGATTGCTGTGGCGAAGACTGTGAAGCAGGTTGTAAGGGAGTTTGTTGCGATGCTTCAGGTGGTGGTGGAGTTGGTTGTACAGTGGGTTCTGTGGGTACATTACTGATTGGACTGGGAATTTGATGAATGTGTTGAGGAGAAGTGGAAGGATGTTGTGATGCAGACTGTGTGGATTGCTGTGGCGAAGACTGTGAAGCAGGTTGTAAGGGAGTTTGTTGCGATGCTTCAGGTGGTGGTGGAGTTGGTTGTACAGTGGGTTCTGTGGGTACATTACTGATTGGACTGGGAATTTGATGAATGTGTTGAGGAGAAGTGGAAGGATGTTGTGATGCAGACTGTGTGGATTGCTGTGGCGAAGACTGTGAAGCAGGTTGTAAGGGAGTTTGTTGCGATGCTTCAGGTGGTGGTGGAGTTGGTTGTACAGTGGGTTCTGTGGGTACATTACTGATTGGACTGGGAATTTGATGAATGTGTTGAGGAGAAGTGGAAGGATGTTGTGATGCAGACTGTGTGGATTGCTGTGGCGAAGACTGTGAAGCAGGTTGTAAGGGAGTTTGTTGCGATGCTTCAGGTGGTGGTGGAGTTGGTTGTACAGTGGGTTCTGTGGGTACATTACTGATTGGACTGGGAATTTGATGAATGTGTTGAGGAGAAGTGGAAGGATGTTGTGATGCAGACTGTGTGGATTGCTGTGGCGAAGACTGTGAAGCAGGTTGTAAGGGAGTTTGTTGCGATGCTTCAGGTGGTGGTGGAGTTGGTTGTACAGTGGGTTCTGTGGGTATATTACTGATTGGACTGGGAATTTGATGAATGTGTTGAGGAGAAGTGGAAGCATCGTTATCATCAGCAGCAGCAAGGAGTAATCTCCTTCTTTTTCTCTGCACAAAAGTAAGTGATCAGTCGGGCGTGAATGGAAATTGAGATGCTGTAAATATGTAAAGTGAAGGCTTACTTGGTAGAGCTGCCCTGAATGATTTGATGTTGTTTGGCCAACCATTTGGCTGAGAGGGATATCCCACTCACTTAGGTCTGTGCTTAGAGCAGGAGCAGTGGAAGGCTCTTCTCTCTTCTTCGTCGTGACCTCTGTCTCGGCAGGGGTACGGGTGGTAGTTCCTCTCTGTGCTTGTGTCTGCGCGGCTGCGAAAGAGTCTGCCATTAATTTCGGAACTGAGGGGGTGTTTGTCTGAGTAGTTGCATCCATTGGATCCTTGCCTTTACGTTGGTCCCTAACCAATGGTTCAGCAACAGGCACAATTTTGGCTGTCAAGGGTTAAACAAGTTAGTGTTGTAGAGAAAAAAACAAAACAAATTGCATGACACAGTCAGGGATATGAAGTATATGAAGGAAGGATACCTGTAGCCTTAAGCTTGGAAGGCGAGGATATGCGGCCCTGAATATGAATACAAGTATCGTTAAGGCAGCTTTCAAGTGGCTTGCAGAAAATAATGGCAGTCATAAGTCCCCACCAATGGTCAAAAGCAGCCGAGTAGTCCGAAGCAGGTTTGAAGAAGAAGGGGCCAAAATCTTGGAAAAGTTTGGTGTTCTCTGTCAGAATGGATTCAGCTTGTGTAGGATCTTTCAAGTGGATTCTGGATCCAATCTCCTCATGGATGGTTGGGTGGAAATAAGGATAAGGGATAGCCTGGGAAAGACCAAATTGCCTGGACCATTGATTGGGACAGTATGTCTCAAAACTGCAGCTGGATAGCTTGGCGGAGGATATGGAACAGCCAACCAAGACATGTCTACAGGTGAGAATGTGTCTCCAACTCTCATTTTGTTCTTGGACTTGCTCATTGTGTAAATCAGAAGGGTCTACAAAGAGGAAGCGAAGTCTACTGGAGGAGAATTCAAAGTTTTGAAATGGCATGTACAGGTTGGAAGGTCTCTTCGAAGGAAGGTTGTAAAACATGGTAAGCTGATTTCTGAAAGTGAGGATGGGTTGGCTGTTATAAGTGAGCAGTTGCTCAGCATAGGAGTAGAAAACAGGTTTCACGGTGTTAGCTGGTAGGGGTCGTGCCTCAGGGAAATAGGCATACAACCAGGCCTGGAAGAGCCAGAAGGGGCCACCACAGTTGCCAGAAATCTTCTTGTGGACAAAGGAAAATAGGGCCTTGTAAAGAGTGGCAAGAAGATAAGGGGCTAAAACCATAAGTTGGCCATCTTGGATACACAAGGCAAGGGGGAGGTACTCTTTCGTGATCTTGTACCCAGGTACACAAAAAAGAAACTCACAAAGCCAAAGTAAGTAAAAAGCAGTTCTTTCTTTGTCGTAGACAGGGGAACCAAGCTTGCCTTTGTATTTTTGGGCAAAATTTGTATAGCACATGTCTGTGTTTAAAGTAAAGCTCACTTTTGGAGGCTCAAGGAGAGCATGAATTGGATTGCCCAAGATTGGGAGACCAGTCAAGTGAGCTACATCTAAGATGGTAGGGGAAATCATACCAAAATTGAGGAGTAGAGAGTTACAAGATTGCGACCAAAAGCATGCAGCAGCAACAATCAACCCTTTGTCCATGTCATAATTTTTAGTCGACGGTCTAATTACTTCACTAATGCCCTGGTGCTTCCATACTTCAGCGTCGTGACCTTCAATTCTCCTGGCCTAGCTTCGCCAAATAGAGTCAGGTGACCTCCACAATCTGAGTGGGTTTTTGCTGACATTCCAGTTAGTCCACTTGAGTCTAGCTTGGTTGAGAAGAAGGTTCTCACCATTACCAAGGGGATAGTATGGAGCTAGCTCGTCTGGGAAGTAAGACGCGAAGGTAGGGCCTAGAGTAGCCTTAGCGACAGAGCTTGGGCTGGGCAATAGGGTTGCAGCAAATTTTAGAGGAGCGATAAGTGCTCTGATAGGGTCCGGGAAGCGGATGCTGGGCAATAGGGTTGCACCAAATTTTAGAGGACCGATACATGCTCTGATAGGGTCTGGGAAGCGGAGTAGGTCTTCATTGTTCTCCTTAGATGGTGATGGTTGAGATTTTTTCGGTGCCATGGCTTACGGTTTTGTGGTGCTCGGGTTTTGAACGACAATGCTTGAGAAGGAGTACAGTCTGGGGAGTTCGAATCAGAGGGAAATGAAGTGGTTTGAAGTTGAAAGGGTGGGTCTTTTATAGCTTATGATGGGGCCCGTACTAATAAATTTGCTATTGGGCCCAAACAATGGCCCCCTTGTTGAAGTTATATATCATATGACTTGGACCCCCACAAGGGCGCACCCCCATGACCCCTCTCTCTTTGATTCGCCAGTTTTTTTAAAAAAAAATTCTTCTTTTTTTTTCTTTCTCCTCCAATCACCAGCCCCTATGTGTGTGTCTGTGGGGAGGGGGGGTGCAGGTGGTGATTGGAGGGGGTCCCAATCACTTCCACAAGGTTAATTCATATGATATTTAACTTGAACAAGGGGGCCATTCTTTGCATCAAGTTTTGCTAGTCTCTATCGACAGATGGTCCACTTAATCGAGGACACATGACCAAGTCTGAAGGAATGTCCACCACTTCAAAGTGGGCTCTCTGCATGTGGGTCACCTAGAAGTGATGGGGGAAGTTTTTAGCACCAGTCATGGAGTTAGTGGGCACACTTTAAGGAGGAAGCATGAGACAAACCAGGAGCCTTGCTCTGTCAACAGAAGTTTAAAACAGCTTCTGGCCATGAAATAAACACAAGAAAAGGGAGATCGACAGATAGAAGTGGAGGTTTAGTATACTTGGAAAGCCTAGAAGGGAGATTGTTCGTTTCGATATCCGTATACTATTTTTGCAGCCCATCATTGCATGATCCCACACGTCTACACCATAGCTGCCACTGTAACTGCCCCCTGACTTCGAATTTTCAAGTCCACTCTGCCAAATATTGACTCTTCCCTGTCGACCTTCCTTTTCACCATTGTGGGGGCATGTCCCTCATCATTATGAGACAAAAATTGACAAAATATTGTCCACTAAACACAACCATAATCCTTGCAAACTGGGCCACTGAACCACAACACTTGGCCACTCACTGTTACTGCCCTGACTTTGAATCATCAGACTCTGCCAAATATTAATTTCCCCTGTTCAAAATATATTCAATGTCGGTAAACTTGAAATTATGTTTGAAATAACCTTTTTCTGTATTGCAATGACTTAAACACAATTGTTGTCCTACATTTTACGTAACGAAAATACACAACTTATTTACATCGAAAACAAAATATACATCTCTGGTTTGTAATAAAAAAAACCGAAATTACTTTTTTTTTAAAAAAAATTCACTCGTATTTTCAGCTAAATTATTATTGGATATTAGATTAAAAATTCCTCTTTGCACCTATTTTTCCCACATCCTCCCAACAGCTGCTCCATTCAACTAACATTGAATCTTGCATGCCACCTGACTTACACGCTGGAGGAATTACTGGCAGTGCTCATGGATTTAGTGGCTAGCCTCCAAGAGGAAACATGAACGAATTTGGAGTCTGTATCTGTCGAGGAAAGGCTAAAAGGACTTGGGCATAGGTGGCAACTTCAATTATATGCACTTCGACAGGTACAAGTGAAGGTTTTATGTGGTTTGAAGACACAGAAATGAACATGCAGTTATAGAAGTTGCACAGAAGCAGTTGCAGAATCGGCAAATCATGGGGTTGTGGGAAATAATAGCTATAAAGGGCAGAATGTTTGCAGAGAGAGAGAGGACATGAACAACAACACAACTTACTTTCTACATTGCAACTTCTGAGTAGTTTTTTCCCTTCTACTTTCTACTTTGTTACAAACAACCAAATAACACAACAACACAACAACTTACTTTGTACTTTCTACTTTGTTACTTTCTACTTTGTTACCATCAGTTCATCGAAAGAAGTCTTCATCCTTTTCAGGCATTCGAACCAATACCACAATTGCTTGATTTTCTTCTTCAACTTGTCAACTTTAAATTACTGCTTCGTTGCTGTCGATATAGGCACACCATAATTTGACTAACAATAAACCCATACTTTCATAGTTAACATGAAATAATTTCACAACTCCTGTTCGTAACTCGTAATTCATATAGCAATCGGCATGGAGATAAAGTAACGAGTTCGTTGGGTTTCTTTCTCTAAGTAACACCCAAAATTAACTGCCACATAGATTATATACAAAATGCATGTGCTGGTATGTAATTTTGCAAACCCACATGGACAAAATTCGTATTTTACTCGAATTATAATACTAATTTACCGAAACAAGTCATACCAAATCAATACGAAGCCAAACACATCGTTAGTTGATAAACCACACCGCAAAAAACCCTTCAGTTAGATCTAACCAAATATGGAACACATACAAGAAACCCGCAATAGGAATCTTGGAATACAGACATAAGCCAATTTCCCACCCAAAACAATACAGACAACACATATATATCTCCCCTTCAATTAGTTTTCAAAATGACAAGTCACTGCAAACACAAATGACAACATCACTCTAAACAATATGGGAAATTTACAACTCGTGGCCTTGTACATAGGTAACGTTGTGTCATTTCCTGGCATTGTATGTAACCAATGAATTACACGTTACGTACAACAATCCGTACAAAATGAAAACTAAATACATTATTTCCATGTGTTTTCAATAGCTAGTACTGTCTACCTAATAAATTAAGGGAATAAGTAAATCATACAAATTATACAATTACTTGATTCACCTCATCAATTGTGGTCGAATCATTTTTGCACACTGCTGCTTCAACACTACTGTATTGGCCCGCAGACTGCTTGGAATTAGGAAAAGCATTGAAAAATAGTCGCCGCTGCTTAATGTGCGGTGTACTTGGATCCACCAACCCAGTTTTGCAGCGAACAGGCAATGACTCCGCATTGTACTCACGCTCAGTTATGTGGGGTATATCTGCATCCGAGTTAGTATCCACTGTTCGGCTAAACCGAACCTTAGGACACGTTCGCTTTGTGTGCCCAATGTATTTGCAATTCTCACATTTTCTTGGTCTTCGACAGTTGGACGAGGCCCGTCCCGGGTTCCCTTTTGTCTTCACAACATCAGGATCTTCTACTCCAAATTGTCGAGGGAATGAATGTTTCCCTTTGTCTCCATTTCCATCGTTCAGATTCCTCTCATATAACTCCTTCATCCGGCTCGTCATCGGAAGACATGCATCCCTAGCCTCTTTGAAACCTTCCGTTGATTGCGAGGCATAGAAACACATTTCGTTGCAGGAAGAACTCAATATCCCATACCGGGCCGTCTGTGTTGTAGTGCTATCAATTGAGGGTTGAGGCCATTGCTGGCCATCTTTGCTTGCAGCCCTTGTCCATCTATGCAACACACAAGTTGGGGGAATTTGCGTTAAATTTTCGGCTTTCATAACACATATTATGTGACAGCAAGGTAGCCCCAATGACTCAAACTTCATGCAAGAACATCTCATTGCAGCATCCACTGGACTGTGTGTTACTATCCATGATCTGTCCTTCACTTTGTACTTATGAATATAGTAGCATTTCTGACTATCCGACAAAGGGAACACGTCCTTGACATTCAACTTCCCCTTTTCTAAGATTTCATCACGGAACATTGTAAATATATTTCGGGTGAATAGCTCAGCTCCATGTCTCTCTATATCTCGCAATGGAGTAATCAATACCGGAAAAGTGTTATTTGTTTCAGCATCATCTCCAGCCTCGTTATACCTTATCCTTGCAAGAGCCCGATCATAGTGCCTAAGAAATTCATATAGCTTCAATTTGTGTTGGAGGAAGGGATTGAAATAAGCATTCATACACTCCGAGCATTGAGTGCTCTTCATCCCAGCAAAGAAATGTCCACGCATATATGCCTCAGCCCACATATGACGCTTCTCATACGTCTCCAACACCCAACTGTTGGTTTGAAGTCCAAATTTTTTGACCATTGTCGTTCAGCCATGCTCAAACTTTGTCTCATCCATTTCCATGTCCATGCACTGCTTGAAAGCATGTGCAAAGCCATTTATGTGAACATTTGAAACATCATTTTTCCCAAGATGCCAATTACATAATCGATGTCTTGCATCTGGAAATACTCTTCTGATTGCCTCTCGCATCGCCTTATCCCATCTGTCAGTACGGACACAAGTGCTTTATTGTCCATCGCCTCCATAAATGTTTCCAAAACCCATGTGTATGTCTCAATTGTCTCATTAGCTAGCAAAACACATGCAAATATCGTGGTCCTAAAGTGGCTAGTCACACCAGCCAACATGACAAAAGGCTTCTTGTATGCATTGGTTCTGTAAGTTGAGTCAAATATCAACACATCACCAAACTTTGCGTAGTCAGCCCGCGATTTCGAATCTGCCCAGAACAGATTTTGTAACTTGTTATCGTTACACACATCATACTTGTAAAAAAAACGTGCATCAACATCAAGTTTTGCACATAGGTAAACCAACGCACCCTGCGCATTAACTTCTGCTCTACGTTCGGCTTGAATATGGTTGTGCAGATCTGTACAGACGAAACCAACATTCTCATAAGACCCGGATTGATTTACCATATAGTCCATGATTTGGCTAGTCTTCACACCGACGTTGCGCATAGCCATTGCTTGAACTTTGTCAACGCTGTTTAAACTACGATGTGACCTCAAATACATCACACAGTGTTGTTCCGTCAATTCATGGTTGTGGTCTGCGACGAAGTGAGTCACAACATACTTTCCCCCTTCACCAGCATCCGCATCGTACCGTATGCGAAATTGGGCTTTGCAACCTACTCTTGTTAGTGCCTTGGGAGCTCTACTCTTCTCAGCAACACGGTCCAAGTATTTTGGTAATCTCTGACCTTCCCTTGAACACAACCACAGCCTACTAACGACCTTTCCCTCTTTATTTGTGTTAAATCTGGATTTTCGTATACTAAATCCCTTGGCTTTAGCATATGCATTGTAGAAATCTTCTCCATCTTCGACCGAATCAAATTTCTGTTCCAGAATAGCACGTTCAACATCACCAACCATGTCATTGCGATGAGCATCGTCAACCATTTCTTTTTTCACATCGGCTCCGCCATCTTCAACGTTCATGTTGGTTGCTTCTTCATTGCTCGGACCAGCTTCGCAACCATGATAAGGTTCCACCCGACTTTCATTCATCAAACGAATGTCATCTGCTTCATTTGGAATGTCATAATCATCACCTTCCCTTTTAACTTCTGCTCGGTCCATACTGCACATGACATTAGTACAAACAATTACTTGATAACCGAAAAATGTTAACACAAACACAAACATTCGCTTGAGAAATAGAAAGGTTAGTTGCCAATGGAGGGGTTTCCGTTTGAGCGAAGCGTAGAGCGGTTGAAGTTAGGATGGGGGTTTAGTTGACGGAAAATAGCTGAAGTGAAGAGGCCAGAGAGACAGAAAGGGAGACAGAGAGAGGGAGACAGTACCATAGCTCATATCTAGTTGGAGAGAAGGGCTTCACTTCAGCAATGGAACCAACACAGGCTTGTAGTTATACCTTGTTGTTGGAAATCGCCTGTTATACTGTTCCCTACAGAGCTTCGTCAATGGAACGAACCTGGCAGGGACTTCTCGCTATTAATGGAAATCAACAGTTACACTGACCCAACCTTACACAGAGAGGAGAACAGAGAGAGATAGGGACGAAATACAGAGAGTGAGTGGGATGCAATCATGCAAATACATGCATTAACCGGTTGCCCCGATTTCAACTTTTTCACAATTAAACAATTCAATGGTCTTGATCAATTATTGTAATTTAACGGCTAACAATTGGGTTGCATATGATGTGCAACCTTGAGTGGGTTGCACACTTAAACAGAGTCCTTCATATTATTGTATTGGTGGCAACCAACTACCGTCATCCACCTTTGCAGCTTGTCTTTGATTGGATTTTACATGTTTCTGTGTTAACATATGCTTTAATGCTTAAGTAACAATGCCCTTTGCCTCGGCCTTTTTGTTTTGTTGGTGTAATTTGATTATATTTGGTACATTTGATTTGATTAATATTTTTTAAGACCAATAACCTTATTTGATTTTAGAATTTTGAATTCACTTTTCAAAAAATTAATTTTTTTATTTTATTTTTTATTTTTATTTTCACTGAATTATTTTAATATTTGAAGTAATTTTTTTTAATTTTTAAATACACCTAATATAAATACACTTAAATCGTATAATATTTGTGATTTTTTAAAAAAAAAATTCACTAAAATACAAAAAAAAAATTGAGAACAAAAAACTTAATTTTCAAAAAATTTGAGTTACTAAATTGGAACCAAACTTCGGGTAGCGTTTAGTTTAATTTTGAAATAATGATTTCAATCAAAAGATTTCAAAGCTCTTTTTAATATTCATAACCAAGTACTCAATTCAAAACTCTTGCTAGAAATTTTTTTCAAGACTCAAAACTCAAAACTCTTTTTAAAATTTTATTTTCAAAACAAAAAAAATTTTAAAAAAATATATTTTTATTTTTTTATTTAAAATTATTTTTTTTTTTTGAAAAAATATTTTTTGATTTTTATTTTTGAAGAAAAATATATTTTATTTTTTGATTTTTCAAAAAAAATTATTTTGTTATTTTTTTAAGTATTGACCAAATAAGTTGTTATGATTTAGATATATATGAACGATTCAAAATTTTTTTAATTAAAAAAATTAAACAAAATTAAATATGTAAAAAATAAATAAAAAATATTCAAGAAATTTTAAAAAATATTTAAAGAATAAAATAAAATATTTAAAATAAAAATAAAAATTGTATATTTAAAATAAAGCACACAAATAATTAAACAAAATTAAATATGTAAAAAATAAATAAAAAATATTCAAGAAATTTTAAAAAATATTTAAAGAATAAAATAAAATATTTAAAATAAAAATAAAAATTCTATATTTAAAATAAAAATATATTTTTAAAATTTTTAAATATTTAATAAAAGAAAACACAAAAATATGCTTGGTTTGGCATAACTAAAAAAAAATCAAAAAGTCAAAAAGTCACTATCCTATTTAAGTCACATCATCTTATTTAAGTCACATCACTTCTCTACCACATCAATTCAAACCCAACCCATACTTAACTCATATTTCATAAAAAGTCAAAAAATACACTTATTTAGTTTATCCCAAACAATCCAAATTTTAAAAAAAATAAAAAAATATTTACGATAAAAAAATATTTACCTTAAAAAATAAAATTAAGAAAATTTTAAAATAAAATAAACTCAAAAAATTTCAAAATATAATTTAAAACTCAAAACTTAAAATATAATTCAAAACTTTATTCAAAATTTATAATCAAATAAATTTTTTGTTTTTAAAATTCATTTAAAAAATTCAAAACTCAAAACATAACACAAAACTCAAATTATAATTTTAAAACTAAACTAAACAAAAAAATTATTGATTGGTCCAAAACGTGACGTGAGTCTATATCTCATCAATCATAATTTAAAATACCTCATTATATGTTTTAATTATTTAATATAAATTTATAGATCCTACTCTCCCTATCAATTAAAATAGGGCAAATTACATATACCCTCTCGAGGTTTAATAAAATTACAGATACTTTCTTGAAGTTTGAGAAATTACAAATATCCCTCTGAAAGTATTATTTGCATAACAAATAAGGGAACAATTTATTATAAAAATATAAATCCCAAGATAGTATTTGTAATTTCCAAAATTTTAAGAAATATCTGTAATTTAGTTAAATCTCAATAGAGGTATATATAATTTACCCATTAAAACACTATTGAGATGCACGTGGGAATGCCAAGCTCAACCATAAGTTCTCACCAAACGGAGCCAAAATAACTCGTTTGTGGCTTACAGCTGGAAATACCTTTGTCTGCCATAAAACCACTGCACCATCAATGAAAAATCATGGTTGCGTACTATGATTTAAAAATAAAAATTATATTTTAAATTTATAAATTTTAGAATTATGATTTGAGTATAAAAAATTTATTTGGTGAAAGAGTTTTAAAAAGAGAGAAATTTTTGATGTGATATATAATATTTGATAAAAAACATACAACTCATAACCAAGCACATAACTCAAAATTCTATTAAAACTCATAAAAAATTAAAAAAATATTTTTTCCGAATATATAAAAATTAATATGTATCAATTGCAAAAAAAAAAAAATTTACTGTTCCGGTCAACCAGCCGAACGACCGGTGGGACGATCGGTTAGCCCAAATTTTTCCGCCTAAGACAGAGTTTCCAAAATTAAATGTGAAATTAACTTTGTAAAACTATAAACAAACATGAAACTCAAATAAATGGGTGGAATTAGCTTTGAAAAAGCATTCCAAACGGAGCACATAATTCTCACATCTAAACAATTTTTTTTTTTTTTTTCAAAACTCATTTAAAAAATTTAAAAGTTAAAACATAACTCAAAATTTAAATTATTTAAATTAAAAGAAATCAAAGATTTTTATTTTTTGTATTTTTTTTGTTATTTTTAGTATTTTTTAATATTATAAGTAACTTTTTTTTTTACTTTTTAGATACATCTAATTTAGATGTACCTAAAAAGTAAAATATTTATAAAAAAAATATTGTAAAAATTCAATAAACATACAAGAATACAAAAATATATTAAATTCTTGTTTTTTTTCTCTATATTTTTGTTATTTAGTATTTTTTTTAAAAAATTCAAAAATAGTATACTTTTTAATTGTATTTATATTAAGTGTATCTAAAAACTAAAAGAATTATTTAAAATATTAAAAAAATTTAGTGAAAATAAAAAACTCAATTTTCAAAAAATTAAAATAAAAAAAAAAATTGGAACCAAACAAATAGATTATGAATAATGTTTGAGAGCTCTAATTTGAGAGTTCTAATGCAGCTATAATGATGTGAAGAGTGCCCATGTGAAGGTGGGA